TTCTAAGGTGGCTTCGAAGGCCACCTTCCAAGCTTCAGGATTAATGTCATCTGATTTGGCCTTTTCTAGGAGAGCGAGTCGATGGTCTACCGGATAATTTATGTACGTCTCATACGCTACGACATTAGACTGAATGCCCCATTCGTTCCATCGATCGCGTGTCCATTCCGCCTACAATATATTTAAAGCTAAGGATTTCGATCTTATATCTAAATCAAGGGAGTCTTACCTGAGATAAGTTCTTGCCAGCCAGATGTGGGCCGGATGTGTAATACTTGCTCCACTCTGTAGCCTTAGATGAACTTGGTGTTTCTAAAAGTATGGTTTGAAGCTCTTCATAGGTGACACGGTTCTTATGATGGCCGGGCCACCCGTGATGAGTGTTATGCTGAGGCGCGAAAACAACAGTGATGAGAAAGGTGATGAAAAGGGTAATAAGAGATGAGCCTAGAGCGATGGTGCAGAACCGACGAATGATTTGATGAGGGTATCTTTGTCGTGGCGGGCCGACAGTAACAGTGGTGATTAATGGTGTATACTCATTAGCCATCTTGTCATCGTGACGACCGAGATTAGACTGGGCCGAGCGCATGATGAATATGAGATGGCGTTGAGTTGAGAGCGGTGACAACAAAGTTGCGAATGGCTACTCTTAGGAATGTTTAGGTTTGTGTCGCCACTCCGACGTAATGAACGTAATGAACCCCGGAAATGTTGCAATCGGGTTCGGCTATGTTCCAGCCTTATCTATGTGGGGCCGAAGAGACTAAGACCTCGGAGTTGTACATACCCCATTAAGCCCGGTTCCATAATAGCTATCAGTTACCTAACAATGATTGGCTGAATAATTAAAGTCTGTTAGTGATAGGTGTTTACATAGGTATGTACAAACGGGGTGCGTTTTACCAAGTACATATATTGTAATTGTTTAGTTCAATGATACTAATGATACTAATGATTTCATATATCGTCCTTAGCCAATACCTTAACTGACGGAACTTAAGTAAAGTTATTATCTTGTACGAGCTGGAGTATTAAAGATCTACAAGTCTGGAGCAGCCGCATTGCGCATCTTGAAGGGAACTCAGACTTAACCTACATAGTGGATTAACCTACTATATAATGGATTACCTGCGGGGCGGGAGACTACAGGAGGGGTTACATTTCGGCCAATGATTTTACTATATTTTTAATAAAGATGGAGCGCGTTCAAGCCTCAGAAGCAATAACACCCTTGTTGCAGTGAAGATCCCCTCCCCTCGCATGATCAGGAGGCTGGACGTTGGCGTGTGACCTTTTAATTTTGGCTTCCTTCAAATTCACTAAACCCGTAAAATTGTTACCGGATCACATTCTACGACATCCGACACCGGACATTTCGAGGCAGCACTTTGCGTTCCCTTGATACATCGATCTTGGGTGTTCTCTACAAAAATCTAGTGGAACATGCAGCGGATGGCGAGCGAGTCTATTTCCGATTCGTAGGCTTGATGTCCCCGGATAGTCGAAGGCGGGTCTTTCTTTAGAGACCTTTGTTTCGTCACGATCGAAGGGAGGAAGAAGATTAAATAAATAAAAATTAATAAAGTTTTTAAAAACTTTTTACGCACATGCAGCACGCCTTACGCCTCTTAACCCCTCTAGGAAAAGAGTCAGGTCCACTACTACCGGGTTTTAATTCAGGACTCGGGAGGCAACATGCGGTAAGCGTCGAATCAGAAACGGTATTCACGCCGTACGAGCCGTCGCGACGGCGTGCTGCTACCTTCGGCTTAGCCTTTCTGTATAACAGAACTTACATACAGGGAATATACACATACATACATGTGCAGGGTAACAAGCGCCGATGTACCCATGGCCTAGACATATTCGGTACGAGATGTGGGTGTCGTCGGGTAGCATTTTCCTCAACGTCTCTTTTATGTTAATAAAGGTATTGTTCCCCGCTACTTCACGATACATGATTTATCTTTTCTATCTTGGTTGGCCGGTTGTGTGTAACTGTTCTCCGTTCTTTACTCTCCAGTCTTGAGACAATATATGGACGTGGTGGCTGCTGTGTGGGAGTCTTAACGCTTTAGCTTTCTTCTTTCTGGATCCTCGCCCCTCTTATCCCGACATAAGAGAACCGGCTATCCAAGTTTCCTTAGACTTCAAGTCTTCGTCCTTAAACTTGCTTTCTTATTATATCTTCCAGTACGGAACGGACGAAAATGACTAATAGGAATCGTGCCCCGAAATTGCCAGCCCAGCAACTGGCCATATTGGGTGAGCTTGGATCTTTCTCTTGCCTATTTTCGTCGTGTTTTTCTTTTCCTTGGACAAGTCTGCTATGCGATAACTATCTGTCAGAGGAACCTAGTTGCCAGACGAGTCTTATCCGAGATGTTATATTATACAGATCTATTATCTTGCTTAAAATATATCGCTGGTTTGTCTCTGTGCTGGGGACTGTTTAGCCTACTCATGTTGCTATGCTTCTCCGTGATATGTTGAAGTATGGTACCAATTCGTATCCCATAAACTTCTGGACTGGTTAGATTTTAGTGGAAATGGGAATAGGCGACGAGGCGCTCATAATTGGATCATGATATTGCTCATGGCTGGATCATTACACCTTCTTTTCAAAATCCGAGCTAATTCTCTCTCCAGCTATCGCACGGTTCGCCGAACCGATCGCTTACACGTCCGTCTTCCCGTACCTCCCTGAGATGATATCCAGTTTCGGCGTCGAAAGGAAAGAGATCGCGAAATGGGCCGGCATTACCAGTTCGGTATTTTCACTTGCGCAGAGCTTGACAGCTGTAGCTTGGGGTAGAGCCTCTGATAGGCTTGGGAGGAAACCTGTCATTCTGGCTGGACTCCTTTTTACGATGATCGGTTTCATAGTTTGGGGTATGTCAACCAGTTTACCAATGGCGATTACAGTTCGTATTATGATGGGGGCTGGCAATGGAAATGGTACGTGTTTTTCCTTGGGCAATATCAGAACTTCTCCATACTAATTCATGTAGTTGGGATTATTCGAACGATGGTAGCAGAGATGGTTACAGAGAGGGAACTCCGGCCAAAAGCATTCTCGATCATGCCATTAGTCTGGAGCGTTGGGTCAGTGTTCGGTCCAGCTTTTGGCGGCCTATTTGCGAAACCTGCCGATCAATGGCCTGGAATTTTTGGCAACATCGCTTTCTTCAAAAATTACCCATTCGCTTTCCCGAACTTGATAGGTTCCGTCTTTTTTCTGATATCTCTTACGACTGGACTTCTTTTCCTCAAAGAAACCCTTCATAGCAAACGTAATTCTCCCGATTGGGGTCTAGTCCTTGGCGAGCGTATCATGAATGCATTCAGGAGTCACCCCCGCCGACGGGCCCAGAGTCGCCAGCGACATTCCGTACAGGATGATGAAATATCAGCACCGCTAATGGATTCGAACGCGCCCTTGAAGACGGCTAATGTTACCGTTGTCGAATCAAGGATCGAAAAGCATAAACCTTTACCGCTTCTTTCGGTGTTCACTCGTCAGAGTGTTATCAATCTTGTTGCATACACAATCTTAGCTCTACACTCGGTTTCGTTCGACCAAGCTTTACCCGTATTCTTAAATTATCCGCCGCAAGAACATACACCTGAGAACACGTCGCTTCCTTTCGTCTTTAGTGGCGGTTTTGGGTTGACTCATACACATATTGGTACTATCTTCGCGGGTGAAGGTATCATATCTGGCTTGGTCCAATTTCTGGTCTTCCCACCGCTATGTACTCACTTTGGCATATTGAATTGCTACAAGGCTTCCGTTCTTGTCTTCCCAATTGTCTACATCCTCACGCCGTTTACAGTGCTTGTAGAGGGTACTATAATGCGCTATACCGCACTATGTATCCTCCTAACTCTGAAAACATTCGCTGTCATTGTCGGGTTCCCCTGCACTACCCTTCTACTTACCAATAGCGCCAAGAGCTTAAGCGTCCTAGGAACTTTAAACGGGTTTGCGACTACGTTTAGTGCCCTTGGACGAGCTACTGGTCCTGCTATGACAGGTGCTGTTTTTACATATGGCGTAAAACGGGGCATGATTGGTCTACCATGGTGGCTCATAGCTATCATAGCGATTCTAGGTGCCATACCCGCATGGACGATCATCGAAGGTGAGGGGCCAAGTGATGTTGGTTCTTCATCTGACAGCGAGGATGAGGATGATACAGAGATTGATAGCGAGCTCGCCGTCGATGATGACGAGTTTGGAACCAGTCAGGCCAGCACTATTGTCGTGTCAGAACATCCGCAGCTAATGGAGGATGCTCCGTTAATAAGTAGCGTCAATACTTCAGAGACTAGTAATGGCTACGGGACGCTGGAAACTGGACGGTCTTGATGTTGGTTGCGAATAACCCCAAAAATAGGGGTGAGTTTGTTAGACGGTATTTAAAACGAGATATCTTATAAATAGGGGCATAGAAGAAGTAGAAACAACATCATCACAATCATTGTCTTTGTTATCGGAAGGCGTTACGGACTGGAAAATGGATTTGGGGTTAACCAGGTTCAAGTATTGTATTGTTAGCATTTAGTATCATGTTCGAGATTTGATGTTCATCTTGTATCGAATATCAATATCATGTATCAAATAACTACTGAACTGCTTTTATTCAACCGATTTGATCCATGCCGCTGTATCCTAGATGCCTATAAAAATTGACATGAATTCCCCCGATCAAGCCGCCGTAGCCTAACCTGACCTGACCCGACCCTTTTAGCCATAAAACGCCTATGAAGGAGATGAAGCTACCGCGCATCATCATGCAATATAAAACTATCAAGAGGTATCACTTTGTTTTTGTTTTCCGCACCGAAGACTATCTGAGAAAATCATTACGTCCCAACCGTTCCGTAATTATCAATCTTCGTAAATCCCATACCAACCCGTCCAGTTTGTCATCAAGCCAAAGCTAGGTAATTTTCACTCACCCACCAGCCCCTCCTTTTCTATACTGAGCTTATCAAGCATAGAGTTTCTTCTCGTAACTCTCCATGTTCACGCCGCCCTCTAGTTGTGCGCTAGCAGTGCGAATCTCAAACCGGAGGGTGCCGTTGGCTGCGCTTTCGTGCATCTCTTTCAAACTCCGCATACCGCAATCCTGCAGCGAGTGTTTCAGGCCCGCTGCCAGATACGGCACGAACTTGTTGATCGATCCACGATGCGCCACAGCGCCAGAGACACCTTGAGCAACAAGGACGCTGTCTCCCTCGCTAAAGTACCGAGCGGTACCCGCGTTACTAGCTTGGCTGTTCTTACTGCCAGCACCGGCTTTTTTATCCTGCATAGCGTCGATACTACCCATACCACGATACGCCTTAACCAGTTTACCTTCACGCGAGACGAATGAAGTGCCCGGGGACTCAGTTGTGCCTGCGAGCAAACCACCCATCATGACGGTGGAAGCACCGAGAGCAAGACCCTTGACGATGTGGCCCACATTTTGGACACCACCGTCTGCGATGCACGGTACTCCAAATTTCGCTGCGAAAGCAGAAACGGAGTACACCGCAGCTGCTTGGGGACGGCCCACGGCCATGACCTCCTGTGTAATGCAAGCGCTTCCACTGCCCATTCCGATTCTTAGTCCATCAACTCCTGCGGCAATCAGGTTTGCGGCCTGCTCCCGAGTCACTACGTTTCCGCCAATGACATCGAGGCCGGGGTACTCCTGCTTAATCCATTTGACCATCTCGATCTGGTACATGCTGTTACCCTGACTGCTGTCTAGGACAACAATGTCAAGTCCCGCATCGACGAGCTTCTTTAAGCGAATCTTATCCTCTGGACGGGTACCGATCGCGGCAGCGCAGATGAGCTGCTTCGAGTCAGGAAGCTTAGACGCAAGTGGGAAGTGCAAATTCTTGGTCAAGTCGGAACGGGAGATCATGGATACGAGGTTGAAATCCTTGTCAACGATAGGCAGTTTGCCTTTCCTGGACTTGGCAAGAATCTTGTTCGCCTCAGGAAGAGTGACGCCCAATTGGGCAGTGACTAGGTCGGTCACCATAACTTTATCGACCGTTTGGCGGAGGTCGTCCTCGAATTGAAGATCGCGGTTCGTTACAATGCCTAGGAGCTTAGAGCCAAGCTTCCCAGATTCTATAGGCTTTAGTTAGCCTAGATCCCATGCCAAGGTTGGAAGGTAAAAAATTTTTCAAAATTCACATCATCATAAAGAGCATAATTGATTCCCCATGACATTTCTGTCTATACGGTGGAACGAAAGTTAAAATATTAGGTTTGTAATCATAAGATGTAGTACAAGAACTCGGCCGTAGGGGGACGAGATCAGGCGGGACAAGAATCATAAAATAGAATAAAATATTAGACATACCAGTAACAGGGAAACCACCGAAACCCCATTTCTCTTTGAGAGCCTTGGTTTCCTCAACAGTGGTCTCCTTGCTAATGACAACAGGGTCAACAATGAAGCCATTTTCATATCTCTTGACTTTCTTCACCATGTCGGCTTGGGCGTCTGGTGAACAGTTGTGGTGGATAACACCAAGACCACCCTGTAGAGCCATGTGAATGGCCATCTCATGTTCAGTAACAGTATCCATAGGCGATGAGACGAAAGGGGTTTTCAGTGTGATTCTCTTGGTAATAGGTGAGTCAAGTCCGACTTCTGAGGCAGGGAAACCAATGTAACCAGGCAAGATCAAGAAATCATTGTATGTCAAACCACCACGCTGTTTGGTGTCAACAAGATCCTCAATACCGAGACCATCACGAGATTGGTACTCTTTCAGCGTCTCGACAGCGCTGGAGAAATCAAGGAACTTTGAACTGCCATTGACAGAAGTAGATCCGTTAATAGACGGCATCTTGATTAAAGAGATTTAAGAGATGTGAGGTCGAAGACAACGTCGAGAAATTAAATTGACCAGTCGACGAATTGAACGATGTTCTTCTTCCCGATTAAAAGGAAGAAGAAAAAGTTCAAAGTCTTGAGGAGCTCATCAAAAATTTTTGTGTTCTTCCTGCGGGGTCCCTGCACAAACTTTAGGTACAGTGCGGGGCTCTCATGTTAATGCGTAACCTTGTCGTAACTTAATTTTACGCGTCAAGTCTATATGAAAAGCAAGTTTCTTACTAGTACCATAAATCTTCAACCAATGATAATTCGCAATTGGTGAATCCACATGATCTATCTTATCTGTAAATGCAGCATTTGTGGCTGATACACTACCTCGTCCGTGGCGTTGATTGTGGTTGGTCAAGTGAGGGGCAGGCATAAACTGCCCAGCATATGTACTGACCGTTGCTCCCCACCCGAATAAATAAACAAACTTCCAAAAACAGGATTACAGGTCATCGGTTTTTTGGTTCCATCAAGCTCCGTCACCCGTCAACCAACAAAGTAAGGCTGAATTCAGGCCGCTTCCCGTTGACCGGTGTTTAATTGTTTAATAGAAAGCTAATTTTCTACATCACACTCTTCTTCTCAACAACATCGTAGGAAATATCCTATTTCTAATGAGTGCGCTGAGAGCGCGCGTTCTCCGAGACCAGGCTAAAAAACCAAGGAAATAGTTTTGTGTTACCGGATATGTTTCCCATCTTTTCCTACTAATAAACACCTCTCTCACCTTGGGTATCCTCGCTTTCATATCTTTGTTTACAACTCAATTCGAAATCCAAATAAGGCAGATAGGACCGGCTGCCAGTGACTCCAGATTACGACCTGGTATCGCATACGATAATCATTACTACTTCAACTTCGACTACGACTACACTCTAATATACTTCAGCTCCAATAGCTGTGATGCGGACTCCAATATCGGACAGTGGTATAATTCAACTTGACGTAGAGCAATATCACCGCATACTGGTTTAGTAGTCGACATGTCGAACAGGCCTCATCCTCTCCGTCAATCATATACTGTTGACTACACAACGACCAATATAAATCGCCAACTGTCTGCTGCTTCATCGTCTGCATCGTCTGGCTACTCGGCCAACTCTAATAATACTGATCCGTCTGACTTTGGGCCACCTAGCGCAGCATCATCGATAACTTCGAACGGCAATGGCAGACCCATCGCTACACACAAACGTGGCATGAGCGAAACTGCACTTCGGTATTCCTCACCGCGATCAAGTATATATGATGAACCCAAGGCGAACCCGGAAATCATGTATAACTTGGCCAGACAGTCTTTACGTCCGCTCCCACAGCCACCTGCTTCAGGACAGCAACTCGAAAAACCCAAGACACCCCCACGTCGCGACCGCCAAGAACGCGGGCAGAGTATTGACATCGGCAAGCTTTCTCTATACGAGGAGAAAACTTCCCCTACTCCCCAAAGCAAGTCGCCAAATGCCCGGCCTACTTCTATGGTGCTCACACGATCCGATGTTAGACGCCCAAGTTTACCCGGGAGCCCGACGCACTCCTCTCATCTCGTAGTTCATCCTACTACTCTTGCTGCTCCCGACTTACAACAGATGGGTCGCTCCTCCACAAACCAACTGCGCACCTTATCCAAATTGGCCCAGGATAGTTCTGCCGATGAATTCGCCCTTACTTCCCAGGCCCAGGAGGTAGTTGGCCTGCGTGGACGACGAAGACTGCAGCGAGCAGGTAATGCGAATGGCTCTAGGAGTGGACAGCGCAGTGATCGCTATGGATTCGAAGGGCGCAACTGGATGGATAAACAGAGACAGTTTCTCCAAGCATACGAATATCTCTGCCACATTGGTGAGGCAAAAGAGTGGATTGAGGATGTCATTCATCGTCAGATTCCACCAATTGTTGAGTTAGAAGAAGCTCTGAGAGATGGTGTCACCTTAGCTGAGGTTGTGGAAGCTCTGAACCCTACTCGACGATTTCGCATATTCCGAAACCCGCGACTTCAGGCAAGACACTGGGATAATGTAGCTGCTTTTTTCCGATACCTAGATGAGGTTGAGCTGCCTGATTTATTCCGATTCGAACTGATTGACCTTTACGAAAAGAAGAACATCCCAAAGGTCATATACTGCATACACGCCCTAAGTTGGCTTTTGTTCCGGAAGGGTATTGTGGATTTCAGGATAGGCAATCTGGTTGGCCAACTAGAGTTTGAACATCATGAGCTAGAGGCTATGCAAAAAGGACTCGACAAGCTCGGTGTTAATATGCCTAGCTTCGGGAACATGGGCGCAGACTTTGGCGTGGAGCCAGCGCCTGAGCCCGAGCCTGAAGAAACTGAAGAGGAACGAATCGACCGCGAATTGTCCGAAAACGAGGCCGCCGTCCTCGACCTCCAGGCGCAGGTGCGAGGTGCTATGCTTCGACTACGACTCGGCCATATGATGCAAGGATTATGGGACTCGGAAGACTGGCTCATTGACCTCCAAGCGCGCATTCGCGGCGATTGGACCCGTCAAGTTATAGGGTATAGATTGGAGATGCGCAAGTTTGCTATCAATCTTCAGAGTGCCGCTCGTGGATTCCTAGCCCGAAATAGAATGGCACGTAGAGAACACTATTGGAAGAGCAAGGAAAAAGATATTACGATACTACAGAGCTTGGTACGGGCCGCAAAAGTTCGTGACGAGGTACGAGAAACTCGATCTCAATTATCACAGGCGGATGGTCCTATACGAAGCATTCAAGCTGTGTTCCGAGGCCAACTAGCACGCAGAAAGTTCCTTTCCCAGCAGCAGGAGACGAATCGTATGTCCGGTCCAGTATTGCAGCTTCAGGCCGCAATAAGGGGAATGCTAGCGCGGGAAAAAGTTAGTCAAGATCTTTACTCACTTGGAGAAGAAACTCAAGCCGTTACTGGTCTTCAGTCCGCGATACGAGGAATGTTAGCACGGGAGAAAGTTAGCCAAGATCTCTACTTCCTTGGAGAAGAGGCTGAAGCTGTTACCAGTTTGCAGGCTGCAGTTAGGGCGATGCTGACGCGAAGTCATATCCACGAACAACGCGAGGCTCTCGCTAGCTTTGGTCCAAAATGGGAGTCGCTTCAGTCAATCTGTCGCGGCAATTTACTTCGACAAGATATTCAGGCAACAAAGGCTGACCTAGGGCAACATACCCCTGAGATTGGAGCTCTGCAAGCTCATATTCGCGCAGCGGCAGTACGCCGGAATATTACCGAAACGCTGGATGCTTTGAGCGACAATGAACCATCCATACTTGAGCTTCAATCACTAGCTCGAGGCATGCTCGAACGACAGCGGATCACTGCTGAGCTCGACTCTCTTGAAAGCCACGCTATGAGTATCATAGATCTCCAGGCTCGGATTCGCGGGTCCCTGTTTAGAGAGCAGCACTCTCTGCTTCTCGATGAACTACAAACGCACGAAGACGAAATTGTCTCGTTACAATCCCTTATCCGAGCCATGCTCCTGCGTAGCGATGTCGGTCAACTACTAGCCGAACTTGACGAACACGAAGAATCAATAGCTGAATTAGAATCCTTAGCTAAAGGCTTTATTGTTCGACAACAATTTGCCGCCAAGAAGAAACACTTCGAGGAAAATATGCAGAAGGTGGTCAAGATTCAAAGTTTCGTCCGCGCTAAGCTCCAGGGGGAGGCATACCGAAGTCTCACGACTGGAAAAAACCCACCGGTTGGTGCAGTAAAGAACTTCGTACATCTTCTTAATGACAGCGATTTCGATTTCAACGAAGAGATAGAGTTCGAGAGACTACGAAAAACAGTGGTTCAACAAGTTCGGCAGAACGAAATGCTTGAGCAATATATCGATCAGTTAGATATCAAAATCGCTCTGCTGGTGAAGAACAAGATCACTCTTGACGAAGTCGTCCGACATCAAAATACCTTCGGTGGACACACTAGCAGTCTCTTAGCCAACGCCTCTATTGCCTCAGCCAATCAGTTCGACCTAAAAGCTCTCAACAAGAGTTCGAGAAAGAAGCTAGAATCCTACCAGCAATTATTTTTCAACCTTCAAACTCAGCCACAGTACCTAGCGCGACTTTTCAGACGACTGAGAGAATTAGGTACAGCTGAGAAGGAGTGTAAGCGCATCGAACTTCTCATGATGGGACTTTTCGGCTATGCACAAAAGAGACGAGAAGAATACTACCTACTCAAGCTCATCGCAAGATCAATACGAGAAGAAGTGGACGCATGTAGCTCTATCCAAGAGTATCTTCGCGGAAACTTTTTCTGGTCGAAGCTACTAGGGAATTATTGTCGGTCGCCACGAGACAGGAAATATCTCAGGGATTTACTCGGCCCATTAATACGAGACAATATCGTTGAGGATCCCGCTTTAGATCTAGAGAGCGACCCGATGCAAATATACAGATCTGCCATCAATAACGAAGAGCTCCGCACCGGTCGCCCTAGCCGGAGGCCACTCGACATAACCCGAGATCTCGCAATCAAGGACCCGGAAACGCGCGAGTTATTTATTGACCACCTCCGGGATCTCAGAGAAATCTCGGATCAATACTTCCTCGCCCTAGAGGATCGTCTTGCCCGAATGCCCTACGGCCTACGGTTTATCTGCCGGCAGATGTTCGAAGCATTATGCCAACACTTTCAGCGTGAACCTCAACACCATGTGCTCCAAATTATTAGCAATTGGATTTGGCGTTTTTACCTGCAGCCTGCGTTGGTTAACCCCGAGCAGGTGGGTGTGATCGAGAAGACTCTGAGCCCTCTTCAAAAGCGCAATCTAGGCGAGGTTGCTAAAGTTCTTGGCCAAATCTGCTCGGGCCGTCCGTTCGGCGGTGAGAATATCTACCTACAACCTCTTAATGCCTTTGTAGGGGAGTCGATCGAGCGACTTGCTCACATCACGAATAACTTGATCACCGTTGCGGATGCTGAAAATACATTTGATATCGACGAGTTCAATGATCTCTACGCCAAGAACCGGCCCACACTATATATCAAAATGACGGATATATTTGCAATCCATTCTCTCGTATCACACGAGATACCGACTCTCTGCCCCAACCGCGACGATGTCCTTCGTGAGATCTTGCAAGACCTCGGAAGTGCGAAGAACAATGAGAGTGAAATGAATGCGTCCGGGTCTTCCGACATCCAAATGTTTTTGACGCCTAAGCTCCATGATGTTGAAGATCCGGAGGCAGATATCAAGGCTCTTTTTATGGAGACTAAGCGCTGCATCCTGTACATTATTCGTGTGCAGACGGGCGCTAACCTTCTCGAAATCCTTGTCCGCCCTCCCACTCAAGAAGACGAACACAAATGGCAATCACTTCTAAGGGAAGATTTCGCGTCTGGTAGCAATACCAAGGGAGCGTACTCGGACGTCAATATGGTCGACGTGACGCGAATGTCATACTACGACATGAAGCGCAATGCTCTAGAAAACATTATGCATTTAGAGCAGATGGGACGAATTACAAAACATAATTACTACCAAGACATTTTGAATGCTATCGCGCTGGATATTCGTACGAAGAGTCGCCGTAGAATCCAGCGTCAACGAGAGTTAGAAGGAGTACGGCTCACTCTCGGGAATCTACACGAGAAGGCCGAGTACCTAGAGCAGCAGCGCAAGAGCTACGATGACTATATCGAGCAAGCCATGGCTACGCTGCAGAAGAATAAAGGGTAAGATGATTAAAATATGCTATAGGTACACTGTGCTAACAAGAAGGATATAGGAAAAAGCGATTCCTCCTTCCGTTCACGAAACAGTATAACCACCAGCGAGAGCTTGAGCGTTCAGGACGTGTTCCCAAATTTGGCTCTTATAAGTATAGTGTACGCGCTCTTGCCGAGAAGGGTGTTGTCGTGTCTTGGCAAGGCGTGTCGGAACGCGATTGGAGTAATATCAACCTCACGATCTCGTGCGACGAGGTAGGTGTATTTAATCTCGAGGGTAGCCGAGGCCACATCCAGATTCCAGGAGCGAGCGCCCTCATCCCGATCGAAGATCTCTTACAGGCGCAGTTCGAGTCTCACCAGTTTATGAATGTGTTCGAGGGTAACTTGAGACTCAATGTCAATATCCTCCTGCATTTGTTGTACAAGAAGTTCTATCGGACGCAATAAGCCGTAGAGCTGGCGCTCTATAGAAGAATTGCGTGGAAACGTCTGGTGCTTAAAAGGTAGTCGTCTGCGACGAAGGATATGACGGTGCAAGGGGTGTAGGATGCATGGTACTCGGTCAAAGGGGGACAATGGTGTTTTGTAAGGCGACGTGTTGCTCCTGCGGGCTCGGATTAAGAATTACGAGAGATATATGCTGATGGGATTGGCTGGGGATAGGTATTGGAAGTCGACTTTGTTCTTCGCAACTCTTGGTACCCTAAGTTGATACCGGCGGCGGCGAATCAGATAGCATGTTTATGTACTTAGGGCTAGACTCATGATGTTATGGCAATGAGACCGTATTTGTAATTGACTTGATTCTCTCGGTCCTGAAATATTTATGGCCGCTATCTGCCTACATTTAATTTCGCGAATGTGCCCAGCCAAAATTAACTCAGCTCTAAGATAAAAATTGTCCGATATAGTTCCTGAAAGTCATAGTTATGGCTAAATTAACTCTTAGATGAAGTCACTATTATTTTTGGTTTTAATAATATTTGATATTGAACTTCTAAGATATCTATAGGCCTCATGCCTCATATCTTTCTAGAACGTGCCGTTACAAATCAAGTGCTGTGCTTCCTTTCGGCGGAGCATTCGGCGGGGCTCGGCGGCGATGTGGGGCAATCGCCGAAAGCCCACCGAAAGCAAGAACCGGGGTCTACCGGTACGCCTGGCCTAAGCCTATATATATAAGACTTTGGTCGGAATATTTCGAGGTTTAAAATATATGTAGTTTAAAGATACGGCTTCAAGTGCTGTTTTGTATACTTTAATTTATAGTTTATAAAAGTTATATCACGGCACTCAGTGAGCAAGTAAAGGAAAACCAGAGACAGGATGGCTGCGTTACCAAAAACAATGCGTTCACTCGTGGCGCCAAAATATAGCTGGCCGACCGGCTGGGAAGTCGCCAATATGCCTGTTCCAATGGTCAAGAATCCTAAGGACATATTAATCAAAATACACGCCGCGAGCATATCGACAGGTGATACGCAGCTCGCGAGGGGAGCAGCTAGGTATATAGTCGGGGAATTGAAGTATGTCTATAATATTCTCCCTTTTTAATTTTGCATAAAATTTATTCAACTAACACAATATAGAATGCCGCATAAGATCGGAATCGAAGCCGCAGGCGTCGTCGTCAAGGTCGGGTCAGGGGTGACATTATTCAAGCCCGGCGACAAAGTATACGCATTTGGACGATCCCGGCCAATGGATGTGACCGTGGACAAGGGGTTCTGCTCTGAGTATGCAGTGGCTCAGGAGAACCTAACTATTTCCAAGCCTACCAGCTCTTCCTTCGAAGATGTCTGCAATATCGCTAGCGTTGTTACTGCACTACAAACTATTGAGATGGGTCTACGTCTCATGCGCGAGAACGGCGTTACTGATGGACTCGAGGGCAAGACCGTATTTGTACCAGGTGGTTTAAGTGCCACTGGCTCCATCGCTATACAGGTGCTAAAGAATGTATACGGCGTCGGCAAAATCATCACCACCGTGTCTACGGCCAAGGTCCCCCTTGTGGAGCAATACCTTCCGGGTCTCGTCGACCAGGTCATCGACTACACGCGCGTGAAGAATCTGACGGATGTCATACCCCCAGGAAGTATAGACATGGTGTACAACACGCAATGGATCGTGACGAGCACGTTCCCGCTAGCGAAGCCGGATGTAGGCGTCGTAGCATCCATCGCAAGCGTGCCGTCGCCGGGGCTGTTGCGCCTTATGCTGCCACCGCTGCCATTTTTTACTTACTGGTTCGTGGGGCTTGTACAGCTATGGTATAGATTTAAATTGCGTGGTACGAATGTTAAACACGAGTTTCATTCTGGCAACCCCAGTGCACGAGAGGACCTCGAGCGCGCCGGCGAGATCGTGGCTATGGGTAAAGTCAGGAGTATTAACCGCGTTTTCGAGCTCGAGGACATCGATGCCGTAAGGAGGGAGGCGCAGAAAGTAGCTACGGGAAAGGGTGGAATTGGAAAGCTGGTTATTAAGATTGCAGAATAGGGGAGATGTATACGTATTTGTAACAATTATACACGCGATTTAATATTATACTGTCACGATATGCATGATAAGCCAAGGGAAATAACTTAGAAGATGCAATGCGAATAACTATAAAAACTATCACTCCAATTAGAAACAAACCGAAAAAAAAAACAGCACCCCTTAAAATACAGACGGATGGATCTCCTCTTGTAACTACTACCCCTTACCCCTGAGACTAAGACGGTAGAAATTCTCTCCTCTCGACGACCCATCCCCTACCTCACATATAAAACAATCTGACTAATAAACAAAAGGAAGCATTAACTGTCTAATCCAATACAACAAAGCAAAAGCCAATTTTGGGAGCCGTATATATGCTCGCTTGTCCGGAACGAGGGCAATGGCGTCCGTCTCCTATCCGACAGCACATCGCACGTCCATTGATAGATACTAAAGCATTTTCGTTTCAAGAGCCATTATTTTGTTTTACTCTCTCTCTCTCTCTTCAACTCTAATCGCGACGCGCGGCGGGGAACACAGCCGCGAACTCGTTAGCACCGGTGCAGTAGATCCAGACCTGGCGTGGCGTCGTGGAGCCGGTGAACGTGGGTGCGGGCACTATGTGCGTGTAGTACTCGCGGCCCGGGGGTATGCGGATGATGCAGCACAGCTGGACGTGGTGCGGGTTAGGCCCATCCTCGCGGACGTAGTGCTGTAGAGCAGCCTCGGCCTGCAGGATAGTAAGCCCGTAGTGGTTTTGGTCCTCGACGGTCCGGCTCGCGCCGACGAAGCAGTCTGGGTTGTCGTACGCGGCACGCAGGGCCGAGGTCGCGGGCAGCCAGAGAGCCTCCTGGTCTTGTAGACGCATGCTGAAGGAGATGGCCTGGAGAGCGCCATCGAGACCGAAGGTTGGGCCTAGAGGAGCCCAGCCGTACGGGAAAGCACGCTCTAGGGCCTGTTGGTCGGCGTGCGGGTTCTCTGCGCTTTGGGTAGGGTCTAGGGTGGGCTCTGGTGGGTGCGGCGGCTGGACGACGCGGCCGGTCTTGGCCCGCTCTTCGGATTTCATATGCGCGTCAAGGCCAGGGAGGGGCGTGTACTTCCAGGGTCCGGGAGGGTCCGACGTGGAGTCCCCTAACTGTCCGGCTTGCTCCTTCAGCCATTCGCTGTATGTCATGGTATTGGTTTGGTCAGTCGTGGTGGTCTGACCAAACAAACCACCACCTTTAACCGGCTGTGGAGATGGAGTCGGGATTTTGCCAAATGGATTGACAGGTACCGTTTTAGGTCCAGGTGGAACCGGAGGTCCAGGCTGGGGTTGAGGAGCCGGCTGAGGCTGAGGGCCGGGTTGGGGCCGGGGTGTAGGCTGGGGCCGGGGTGTTGGTTGAGGCCTGGGTGTAGGTTGAGGCCTGGGTACAGGCTGAACTTGAGGCTGAGGCTGGGGTACAGGCTGAGGCTGGGGTACAGGCTGGACCACAGGGCCAGGTTGGGGCCGAGGCCGAGGTACAGGCCGGGGTGCAGGCTGGGGTACAGGATAGTATTGAGGCCCAGGCTGAGGTTGGGGCACAGGCTGAGGCTGAGGTACAGGCTGAGGTACAGGCTGAGTCTGGGGTACAGGCTGAGGCTGAGGTACAGGCTGAGGCTGAGGTACAGGCTGGGGTTGAGGAACCGGCTGGGGTTGAGGAACCGGCTGAACCTGAGGGCCGGGTTGGGGCTGGGGCTGAGGCTGAGGTACAGGCGCAGGTCCGTACTGAGGGTGGTCCACGGGGAAAGGCCGAATACGAGGTGGTGGTTTATATTTCGGTCGTGGAGCAGGTGCTGGGGGGTCCGACGTAGTCTTGACTGGCTGGGGCCTCGGGGTAGGCCCGGGCCTAGGCGTAGGGTTAACCGGAGGTGTTGGATCTACGGGCGTAGGCGGTATGACAGTCTTCGGGGTCGGAAGATGAGTGGGTTGACCATCGTTGACTCCGGTGCTCACCTTCTTAGTAGGGGGAAGGATAAAGTCAGCCGGGATCTTGCGCTTCCTAGAGGTGCTGCGAGGGATGTCCGAATCGCGAGTCGGTGGCAGCAAGGGGACTAGAGGCTCTTGAACATCTGTCATGGCCTTGTAGGCGTTGCGTATCTTTCCCCATAAGTTAGGTCGAGGCTGGGGGTAAAGCACTATGACAACCTGTTAGCATCGACGACGTGGAAGTTGGGATGTTTAATAAAAAATATTTTATGATTAGGTACGTAGGTGATTAGACAGTGTATGAGGAATGTATGTATGACTTACCGCTTTCAAGTTTACGACTGAGGACGACAGATTGTAGAAGGGTCTCGGCCATAGGAAAGATGGCGGGACCTGGCATGAAACGTTCCTCCGGCTTGGTGATCGGTACCAGCTGCGGCCGACGCCCATTGCTTTTCGGTGTTTTCGGTGCTGTTTTTGTCACCCCCATGTTATCAGCGTCGTCAGTATGAGTAACTGGTTGTGGTTGTTCAGTTGCTAGGTCCACTGGGGTTTCTTGAGTTGTCTCCCGAGGAATATCTTGAGGAATATCTTGTGGAATATATTCAGTGGTATCTTGAGGAATGTCTTGAGGAATATATTCAACGGTATCTTCAGGGATATCTTCAGGGATATCTTGAGGGATATCTTGGGGGATATATTCGACAACAGGTGGTTGAGGAATATACTCAGTGGTATCTTGAGAGAACACTTGAGGGATAGCTTGATGAACTTCTTGGGGAACGTCTTGAGTGAATACTTGAGTAAATGTCTCGTTGGAGATCTTTGTACTTGAGGAATGCTTTGTCTGGTTAGGATCCTTTGTTTGTTCCAAGATCTCTGTCCGTTCTGGGCTCTTTGTCCCCTCAAAAGGCTTTGTTACATTTTCCGAAGTCGTTGGCTTTGTTCTCGGACTAAAAATCCAACGATTGTCTGGCCAAGGATACCATGTGGAGCTCAGAGCTCGTCGGTCTACTACTCTTTCGGGAAACCTAGGCATTAGTATGCCGTAGGTCTGATCTGGAAGGCTTGGTTCTTCTCTAAACACTTCATCTCGTCGTTGCTTGATGAGTTCTTGTAGACGCCTATTCTGGTGATATACTGGCCAACGCAACATGTGGAAGAAGACCCCGCGAGTATACGGGGCTTGATACCGCCTCTGCGCCTCTGTAGCCCATTTGAATAGACTTGGCCGTTTATAACCGCTGAGTATTTTGTTTTGTTTGAATTTGCTGTCATTGATGTAATAACCTGACGAATCCTCGAGAGCCTCAATACGGCCGGGGTACATTGTGTTGCGATTCTCGACGCAGTTTTTAATGATGCCTTCTCGAATTATGTCTGCAGCATTGTGATTCATAAACTCACGTCGCATAAGCCCGTCGGAGTCTACTTTGTGGACAACATCCTCTATAGTTGGCGGTAGGAACTCTATTGGTCCTACGCCGTTCTCAATAGAAAGATGCCAATGCTCGTAAGCCTGTGTGAAGGCCTCCGTAGAAATTGCTTTCCACTCTTGGGTCTTTTGGGTTCCGGACGCGCTATCATACACTGAGTACTGGAGTGTGCGTTCAATTTCCTCAATGTGCGCTATTGTACGTCCCATTCGATAGGCGAGGTTTCGAAAGAACTGGACAGTCCTTTCTGGGGGCGGAAGACGACGGTGTCTATGGGCTTCCTCGCGGATTTGCCTACGCATATCATCTGTGATTCTCCCAGCTGACAGCTTTCCTATCATCTCCCAAGGAACGAGATCAGACCAACTAGGCGCGTTGCGTCTCTCTTCCAATCCCCCCTCAGGATACGAGCCTCGAACCCACCCAATCTCGGGTTGAATTTGCTTCGCCAATAAGTCGTGACTACTAATTTCATCATCTACTAATTCCTCGTCTTTATTTCCGGAGTAATTCTTGTAATAGTCCTCGTCGTCCTCGTTGGCGTCTTTAGTACGATCGATTGTACTTGCTGCTAACTTGTCCGGCAACGTGTTGTCTCCAAGATGATCAAGGATGTGTTTAAACTCATCTCTTGCAATAGGAGTTTTTTGCCCACTGAGCCCATATTTATTTTCTAGATGCTCTACTATTGCATTTAGATACAAAGTCTGGTTGGAGGCAAATGACTCTTGGTTTCTGTGGCGCCAATAGACACGATTCTCGGGATGGATTACGTATTTAGGCCGTACGATAAATGTATCCCATTCTTCCTGAGGCTTACTTGGGTCTTTCGTCTGTATATATCTGATTCTCGTTAATAAACCTCCTGACTTAAAATAGTTATAGCAATTAAACTTACTCGACTCGACCTAGGTTACTAAGTATTTCCAGTTGGTCCATAGCTTCACCACGTGTGAACTGATACGTCTCATTTGCATGATACTTTCCGGCACCTTCACCACCATTAATATATGCGAGTGCCTCATCCAGGGTTGGCCTTGTCTTATTCTGCCTCTCTTTCCACTGATTTACATCTGGTTCAAAAATATCTATCCCAGCTATCCCCGGACTGTTGGATGCGCCTGGGTTGTTCAGGAAATCCTGGAGGCGCTGGTCGAAAAGGATAGTAAGATTCTCCTCCGGTTGTAACTCGGGGTCGCACATGTTCTCGGTGCGGGAGGGCTGGCAGAGATATCTCAACCAGGCCGCGTCAGATTCGTCAAGCAGTAATATAGTCGGGGGTAAGTTTAGAGAAGGATCTAACTCGACCCAATCGATCTTTTCCCTCCTCATGATATCTGGGCGGGCTTGCCTACGGGTTTCTGCCTCGTCGGGATGCCATTCCGTAGTATTTCCCGCCGGGTTAGGGCGCCATTCTATCCCAGCTTGGATATCCCTTAGAATAGCCAGCAAGAAGGGCCGGGGAGCTATACCGAAGGCATCCTCTAGACGGCTACGTAGACGTCTCAGATATGCACCCATTCTGAGCCAGTGGTCATTATATACCGAAAGGCTTCTATTGACGTAAGGGCCTTGGAAGTTAGCGGGTAGAGCAGCTCTTTGGAAATCCTTCCAGTTTTCTAGGTTATAGCGACGGCGCTGCCAGCCGGCTAGGACCTGGATAAGTTCCTGATGCTGATTATACCAATACACCCAAGGATACGGCTCCTTAAGACTCTTATGGACCTTCTCTGGGGGAAGTGCCCGGGGCTGGTAAACTACCTCCTCCAAAACCGAGTTAGGCTGTTCGTAGGGCAAAACTACTCGACGCCATGGGGTATTGAGAATTTTATTCTCGTAGTTGGTGAACATGTTTAAGCATTGTTGAAGTGCAGCTCGCTCCCAACCTCGTGCCTCGTAAAATTCTCTCAGGTTTTCCATCTTTTCATCTTCGGTGAGCTCATCGTTGGAGTTCTGCTGATCATCATCAAACACGGTAGGAATCTCATCAGCAAGTCGAGGTGGGAAAATCCTACAGGTTTCCCCAACTCCACCCTTGATGCATTTTTCATATATCTCATTTTCGTATCTAAACCCGTTAAAAATACGCGGGTCATAGGTACCGGGTTTGAGGCAATTTTCGAAGTAAAGCTCCTCGGCACTCTGATAGTACTCAACCGCTCTGAATCCTCTCGCAGACAAGTCAGGGAATATACCGTCGGTTTGAATCTCGCGCAATTCATCGTAACGCTTGTGCTTGTTTCGCATTCTCTCGAGAGCAGGCTGGATAAGAGATTGACCAGGAAAATTCGGAAGACGTTCAGTAGTACGCTGGCCAGGTATGATTTCTGATGTCCAGCGAGTTGCACCAGATTTCCACTTCTGATATTTCTTATGCACGTCGACTATGATGAGCGCATCATCCAACGCCGCACGCGTGTAAGAATCATCGTAGCCGAGATCGCCTCGATGACGACCCTGATCAGCTTCATCTAGATATTTGATGATCTCCTCAAACCGACGATCCCATTGTGGATGTTTGTAAACGTCTTCATCGAGTAGAAAGTTTAAGATCAGGGGTAGCATAATTCTAGGATCCTTCCCGTCAGGACCTACGGGTACATCTGGCATAGATTTGTCCCAAGGATCATCATCGGTCGTCGGTTTTGGTTCCCCCATCGTATGTAGAGCGCCGTTTCGAGCCACAACCGTTCTAAACTCTCCGAAATAAAAAAAAACAGCTAATAAGAAGCTCTATAGCAGTTTACAAAACGACAACAAGTAGTGTATCTAGTGATTCCAGTTTACCGAGCAAAGCTCATTGTCAGCTAGAACGTTTCGTTGATAGATTGTTTGGGTGGGTGCTTAGCGTGGAGTCTGCCAGTCGACCACGACAGATGAGCGAGAAGAAAGAGACAGGAAGATGGGCGAAAATTCCGCTCGCGATGAACAGGTTAGAACCCCATGTTCTTGTCTTCTCTTTCGAGGAATTTTGTGGTTACCAGGGGCAGAAGCTAAACATTCCAGAGGCAGCTTTTAGCTTTCTTTCACTAAAATCCGATTTCAACAAAGAATGCTATTGTACGGCTAAATCTCATGGCCAAGGAAGGTAAGACAAACGCACTAGATGCTTGAATCCATCAGTTACTTTCCGTTTGCGGTGCTAGAGGCGTTCCCATTCTTTGCAAGCCAATAGTCAGCACTGCCAGAGAGCACAGCAATCGTTTGTGACTTTATTACAGACACTAATGAAGAACCTTAGATGTGATCAAAAATTAAAACACTCTACAATTTTATAGAACAAGTAAACAATAATGACTGATGATAACCAGTTGCCGGAGTTCCCAGAGGGAACTCCAGATCAACAAACCGAGGGTGGGCCGTCTCGGGGCCGCGGACGAAGTATACGAAGGACTGGAATGCCAGAAGAGGAGCGCAGAGCTCGGCAACAGCGTAGACGTCAATTCCGCGCCCGATTTAGCTCTGCAAATAAAGATAAGCGTCATGAAGAGACAGGAGATGGAAAAGCCGATATTGGCGATTCAAACACTACGCAGGCAGCAATTGAACAAGAAAGTGCGGAAGATCCAACGTCAATAGAGGCCGAGGGTATCCAGGAGCGGAAGCCTTGGGAAACACTAGTTATCGGGACCTTGGGGGAGAATTTGAGTTACATCGAAGAAAAGAATCGTGAGATCGAGCGACAACAATATATCGTAAGACACCACCAGAAACATTCTCCGCACGAAGTTGCACATAATCAGAAAATCCTCGATGAGTTGATACAAGAGCGATCGGAAATGAAGGACGATGAAGAAAACAATATGCCCCAGTAAGTATACTTTAAACCCTCATTTTCCAAAAAAAAAAAAAAAATTTTTTTATAATAACTAATAACCGCTCATAGAGATAAGCGAGAAGAGAAGAAGCGTATCGGCGAACGACTGGACTCGCTGAACTGGGCCCTCGATACTTGTCAATGTGAAGATGAGGAAGTCAACATCCGAGCTGCCATCCAAGGGTATCAATCTGGGGAGATCCTATATTCGAACAATTTTACACTCCTCTACGGTGGACATATCGTTGATGTCTGCCCCTCATACCAATCCTTCTGCGTAGACAGGCAGGAGAGGTTAGACAGGTACTTTGCAAGATACGGACCCGGATGGCTCTGGCAAGAACCTCCGTTGGCTGGCCCCGGCTTCGAGGTCATGGCAAATAAGGCGCTGTGCCTCAATCAAGATGAGAGCAACTACTTTTTCGGGAGTTATTTGGTGAATATGCGATTCGCTGTTGATAGGAAACATGTAATGAGAAAGACAGGTAGAGGCTTCGTTAGGGGTATATCAATGTTGAAGAGTTCCGAGGTTTCGTGTTGCTTCGAGACACTCCTCGACAGCGGAGCAACTATCCCCAACTTATCCCTAGGGGATCTTCGGCGTCTGGACATCGACTTTAAGTATTACGCCGCGCAAGGTGTCACGAAGATCCGAACAGTAACTGATACCCAAGAGCGGAGACTCGTCGAAATGCGAGTCTCGGTGTGTTCAAAAGACGGCGCATCACTCGTTGGAGAAGGCGATCAGGCAGTATGGCCTAGCGAATCGAGGCATGTTGGAGGCTTCGCTCCGGTCTGGATTAATGAAGGCGCATCGGGTTCAAACTTCAAAGAGCGTCTAAGCGGTATGATACCGTTCGAATCATGCTACATAGGGTCGGCACCGACTACGAAGGAGATATGGCTTGGGGAAGATCGCAGAGACGTGTTAGGTGCAAGGCGCATGCCGTCGCTCTTGCGGTATGATAACGAGAAGCAAGTCGGGTTGAAGTATCCAGAACACTTCCAAAAATTGCGGGCCGAAGCAAAGACGCCGGATCAAGTGATATTCATACATAAGCTCGACCCGGCAAAAGGAAGAGGATCGACGTTCATCGACGCAGATTGTCCAGGCGTTCGCGGGAAGAGCGAGTTAGCAACCCTGGATAGAGAATTCGACAAAGCTAGCCAGCGAGTAATCATGAAAGCACAAGAGAAGGTAGTTTTAGAGCCACGCGCAGGAGGGCGATGGGAAGCTAGGAGAGAGAATCCTGAATGGCGACAGAGATTCCTAACCATTAGGGATTTTTCGAAGCCGAGCTATACTGGCATTGGAGAGAAGCGGACAATTAGACGTAAGTTTGGATATAGGTAGAAAGGATCGGGCATAGCGAAGCAAGATATATGTTGTGCTAAGTGAATGTAGAGTAATATCGATATTTATATTGTATTGTTTTTATAGATTAACTAGTTAGTTAGTTATATGAGATTAGCAAACCGTGGCACTATATCGCATCGCCTCTCCCTTTCTCTCTCTCTTCCCCCTTACATGATGAAGAGAATGAATGAAATGACTTGTGGTCGATTAATATCACGTGTCAATAGGAATAAATACCTGTTGATAGAGGCAAAGGTAACGGGAATGAATCTGTATGAAGTACCCTTTACGGCGCTGGCAACTGTAAATTTGAAATACTACTTCGTACCGGTAGTTATGAACTTAATTATGCATATAATAAAGTCTCTACATGCTCGTCACGTCGTAGTAAAGGAACTACATAATATTCTACAAGGAAAGATCTTCAGGAGGATATAATAGCTCATAATAGCTTGCCAACTTGGATACCTCATATACATACATAGTTTGTAGCTCATGGCGCCCTAAATAAATTGCAACCTGCATAACCGAAATCGCCCGGTGACGACAGCACAGCGCTCGGAGATTATGAAAAGATCTTAGTAGCTACTAGCTCGCCAATTAGAGCCCCGGTCTGGCTTTTCTTGACCTTTTCCTCCGTTACTACCTATGTAGATATGTAGTTATGTAGATGGCAGGAGAAAAAGGAAATGTACCTGAGGTAGACTTGCCCTTGCGTTGGGAAAAAAAGACCAGTTTCTTTCTTACGAACCCAACAGTCTGGATGCTATGACAAATGAAGTTAATGGGAAATAGAATATTAAATACATACCTAACCCTAGGTACCTAATGTATGCAGTGACCGGAAGAGCGGTACCGTCGTATTTTCTCCTATTTGAGTATCATTATTAAGATTTATTAGCAGTTAGCTTCATAGCGATATTAGATAGGCTATGGTCATTCAGCCCCTGTCTAACTATCTAACTACAACACTCCTTACCAACTTATTAAGGATACAAATGCAGACCTTTGAGCCCGCGCAATAGTGTTGATGCTTATTCGCAAAATCCTACAGCGCGGGTGTGTTCATCTCCGGCTGTTGATTGATTCGGTGCGGACGCTCGGTGAGAAGCAGGATTTTTTTATTTTTTTTAACTGATCAAAGCGATCTTAGATGTCTGGGCTCATACTTAGCTCGAAACGGGTGAGGAGGCGTATGGGCTGTGGGATGATGGCTTGCAGAAATTGATCAGCTAGACTTACCCAACTACAGGGAAGAGGGAGAGAAGAAAAATCTTGGCGCGTTTATATGGAGATCACAATTAACAAAATACCTAAGACGCGTAAAGAGGTTTTTTTTTCCTTCTTTTCTTTTTATCTTTTTTCTGCAGCTTCTTGAAACACTTATACTAAACTCTTTCATCCGGGCTAGACAGGTCTTAGTTTAGAACTTGTCTCATAAGAGGTATGATTTAAACTACATACATATGTACGGATCCTACTAACTACTAAAAAATACTGCAAGAGTTGCATGAGTTGTGGACTGCATCATGCTGCATCATGCTGCATCGTGCTATTAACGCGACCGATACCAAAACGCCAAATCGACGCGTGCGGAGAATACTATGTACCTACACACTTTTGCCTCCGAGGGGCTGGATAGATATAAGCCATCTCGTCATCGTGTATTCCTTACCCCACTATAAGCCTAAGCCATGTAGGCTTGACTTTTCCTGCATATCCATGATTCTATCAGGGTCCATTCTACTAGTATATGTAAAGCGTAGTATTTACAGAATCATGAGACTGTTAATGACCACATATAGACCCATAGAATTATGTAGGAACTACGGCCTTACTATGTAACATCGAGCTCTTTTCGGAAATCTCTTAGTCGTTTTGTACATCATACAGCTACTCAGAACGCTATATTTGATTTACTACCTATGTACAAGTACGAAAATAAATATTGATGATAACTTCGATCTGCTGTACCAACGCTACCAACGCTACAAAAAGTATTTTATAAGTTTCTCCACACAACTAGAGCAAACGCCGACAATGATTGACATTCTCGAGGCTGAGGATCATAGATCCTGTATGTTTATACGTAATTTCTTGATAATGCCGCCCAGGCATATTATTACTATTGAGGTAATTACATCGTATAGTTACAATAAGTGCATATGGTTAGATCAGGAGCTAATGCCGACAACTTGCAGAAGCAAGGTCGGCTCACATAACGAATAGGAAAAACCGGGTCAACTCCATCCTTTGGGGTTAGTAGAGCGCGGGAGGCAGCTGAGATATATACACAGCCTCGAGGGGCAGTAGGTAATCGCTAAATACTGGTTGCCGATTATTCCTGTGACCGATGTAAAAGGAATGTAAAAAGAGAGCCATGAATAGATATATCCAGGTTGTGATGATGGTTGGATGGTTCTTTTTTGGTCGCTTGCTAAGCTGTGACAAACCTCATTGGCGTATTATCGAATCACCGATATAGAGGGACCAATGAGAGAACGTATGGCCCGACAAGTTTGAAGCTGTCCGTGTCGCTAGTTGATGAGACCGGTACGTAATTCGGGGTTCACGAGCGAGTTATGAGCCCGACTAGGCTAGGGTTTCCCCGGACTGGGAGCCCTTGGGTTTCGGCTAACTTGCGTTCATCATGAGATCTAGACGCGTCCCGAAACTAGCGCGTGGTTTTTTTTTTCCTCTTAAGGTCTCGCGTTATCCTTGTTTAGGGTATTTCTAACAAGACGATCCCACCAGCCAATCGTTCAATAAGGAGCTCCGGTCTCGCCAAGAGCTCACAATATCTGGAGACAGTGTTTGCTCAGCTGTTAAGTGGAAACGAAGAAAGATTAAGAATAACGACAACCTTGTATTGTCAATTGACTCGCATTCCGTCGGTTGAGTTCATCATTGACCACATAGAGCTCAGAGACTAGTATATGCTAAGCTACGCTTGCGTATTGGTAAATTCTCAATCGAAGTCATCACTGCTAATAGTGGTGAATTTCTCGACGGGTACATTAAATGTACCTACCTAAGCGGATCGAAGGTAAGTATCATGTATAGTACCGAGAGAACGGTATCATCATTGATGATTAGCAAAGGTCTAGCCAGAATTAGGAAAGAAAGAAAGAAAAAGTCCACCGGGCAGCAGGCTGAGCAACAAGCAGAGCAACAAGCATGATATGATATGCTTGGCGGAGGCACGGGGGTATGGGACCGCTGTGTTCTGTAAGCGCTTAGGATAGCCTGCCTTGCAGTCATGCCGTCTGCGAGTAACATCGTCAGATCAGAACGAAGTGCGATGCAACGCCGGTAGGCCAGCACCGAATAGCTTATTAGGCAGATGTCGTTTGCTATCTAAGAGCGACACCACTATGTACGCGTCGCTTTGAAACATAACGACTGTTCCGCAGATGGGAAGTAGATGGATGACTCCCGGTTTTTTGCACGTACCCAATCCAGGTTGTCCTTGTCACTCACGAGACTTTGCATGCTTCGTAGCTAAGATCTGCTTGGCGATATGCCAAATCATATCTGCTCGTTGCCGTTGGCTATTGGTTGGTGGAAATTGGTGGTAATGTCTCTCGAATGATTCCGTGGTATCTGAGAGTTCTCTAAAACGAAGGGACCAGGTATTGTATCGTGTAAGAGTACATTACATATTGCTAATAATGGAGATGCGCCCACCCTGTTACAATATCCTTGGCTGTCGGTGATCGTTTGTAACAAACGGTTGACGAGGTTGACGAATAGGGAAGATGAAGGGTGCGCAAAAAGCCTCACCTTCCGTGACGAACAGTTAACTCCGGTAAAAATAAAAAGGAAACGAATCTAGGAGTACCTAACCACTTACATATACCTATGTATGTATGTAACGGAAACTGTGATATATGATTACCTAATTAAAGACATTTGGACGAGGGTTAGTAACGGTACTTTGCACAAGATACCTATCTAGGTAGGTACCTAGGTATTACTAGTATTAGGTAAAAGATCTGGGTTGCATTAGATTGTTTTTATGCGTTCCACAGTTCCATCCTGGCGGAATCACCAGCCTCATTGCGGCTTGACCCGAGAAAGTGGGCTAGGGCTTCTAGATCATCCATCGAAGCATTGTGTAACAATTAAAGTTGTATGATTTTTTTTTAATAACTACCTTAGCCTAGGTGATCAACTACTTTATCCTAGGTATTCCTCATCATTACAAGTCCATGTTACTTGCTGTTGGTGCGTATTATTTACTATTTAGGTATCTAACTAGCTAGGTATTCCGCAAGCGGTCTGAGCACTGGAGCAGACCCCTAATTAGACCATGTCGTAAAAATCACGTTGCATCCTTCACCGATTCCGAAGCAATATCGGGAATCAAGGATATCCTTACGACAGCGCACAGTTGTTAGAACAGTCACTAGATCAAATTTGGTCCCTCGGATGCACAGTACCTACGCCGCCCCAACCTCACCCTTATTTTAAAGAGGAAAAAAAAGGGTATCGACAGCGCTACTAGGGTTGATCCAGACCCTTTACTACATATCATCGCGGTAAGGCCGGCTCCCGAGAATTTTGCTGCAAGTGCTGTCGACCAGGAAACCGGAGAGACTATTTCGTTATGACCGTAGTAAAGAGGATCCGTTGGTAAGAAAAATAGCATCTAACGTGCCGAACCCATCCATGGATGGTCCCGCGGCCCGCTTCATGACTAAAGTGTTAGTTAAAAGAGCCTCTCCCATCGGTCCTTTGTAAAAAGTTTGCACCTCGTCAGCGGAGCTCCTTAGAGAATCTGTCACTTGGACCCATGTGCCTAAATATTCTATACTGGTGCTTGGAGGGATATTTGAAGAGTCTAGCTTCGGTAGCTCTACAACTAAGGTGGGCAAAGCGCTTTTCGGCGTGGAGCAGACCCGTTTCGCTATTCTCTATGATGCCATGAGGGGATAATCTAGGCCACGAGGTAAGCCTGACAAAGTCAACTGCAAAGTCTGAGGAGGACCCGAGTG